GCGAAAGATGCGCGTTCCTTTCGACCAGAGATCGTATAAGAAATTGTCCCAAATACAATAATTGAGAGACAAAACAAGATAAAAGTCACTCTACTTCCTCACTGTGCTAATAAGTACAAATACCGTATATAAAATCCTTGCAGAACTTAGTATTTCAGCAATTACAACACAAATTCACGGAGCTCTCTATTGTGTGTATTTATAGCTGAAACGCCAGGCAAGAGATGAAGGTCGTGATGCGTATGGCGGGGGATGAAGGAGGGGGTTTTGAGAATTGCAATTAAATGCCAGATAGCGACGTGCCCTCCTAATATTACTTATTAAGTAATTATTAGATGTTTTAATTGCCTGTATGTTGGCCTGGCGAGTTAGCTAGGAATTAACATACCTAGGTAACATGCTGAGCGTCGCATTCCGACTTGAACAAAAATATAAATTACGTATATTTACCTAACATATAGCTCAAAGGTGGGGAATGGTTGGAAATATCCCCGCTTGGCTCGGGAATTGCCGCTCATTTCAAATAAACAATTAGTTCTAGAACATAGCCGGATGTCAGATAAACAGTCATACCTACACAGTGTAAGAATCTCTGCTTCAGTCCAAATAGGCAAGCTGCCAATGAACTTCAGTCTTATTTTATTTCATTATTTAGTTTACTGTTATTTCAAGATTATTAGTTACTTTTATGGGATGATTATTGTATTTTATGTCATGAAATAATGGTAGAACTGGGTCTGTAGCCAACTGGACAACTACCCTACATGACAGCTGAACAGGCCAGAAATGGGGAGGTTTGTCACAAAATTTTTTATATATCAGTACAGTACTGTTAATAGGGAGTTACCAGTTGATGGAACATAAGATAAAAGAAGGTCAACCTGCACCCCTGCAGTGAATAATAATTATAGATACTGTACAGTATTGTTCTAGTGACATCCCATTTACAGGAGTGATATCTTGCAATTATAATACAGTCATGCGCCGGTTAACGTCCGACTGAACAACGTCGATTGCATATACGTCACTGCCCCCCAAATAAAAGTGACACCTGCTGGACCACCACTCCACGACCCCCTGATGGAGACATGATGATCCTCCCCATACTGGTCAGATATTATGTGTTAAAGGAATATGCTTCCTTACTTAGGCTTTTTTTAAGCATTTGCCTACAGGTGAAATGTTAACCTACATCTATTGAGGATAAAATCTTTCACCTACAAATTGACAATAACACATTTGCTGTAATCAGACATATCTAGTTGCCTCAACAATTGCAACCCCAGTTGCAATTGGTGTTGCAATTTCAAATTCTGTGACATTACTAAAAATAGTAAAGTTTCTGGTGCACTCTAAGATTAAGAGAGAAAACGGAGGACTCAGGCGTCCTGATGTGAGAGAAAACGGACTCGTATGACGGGGGACCAATTAAAAAAAAGCATAGCTACATGTTTTGTGAACTACAGTATTAAGCGTACCCTTTTCATCACTTTGTAATAAACCTAGCCATGCCTATGTGTGTTTATGATATTTACCATAACATTATATATATATTTAGTGGGTCCCAATTAGAATAAATCCCATAGGTTCTGTACTTTCGTTATCGGCGGGGTCCCAATTAGGCGCGATAACCATGGGATGACTGTACTGTACTGTATATACTTGTGACACTGGCCAGTTGCTTCTGGTGTTATGGTACAGGGGTACCAAGTGACAACACTAGGATCCCGCTTCCTCTATCAAGGAATAAACAATTAAAATTTAAATTGAAAAAAAAAAACATTCAAATAATGGGACCTAGCGAACCTAAATGGCCCTAGAGCGGGCACAGTCACGTATGCATCGCGTATTCTTATAGATTGTGCGGCCAGGCGTACGTTATCTAGTGAATTTAGTCAATATTGTACAGTAACAATGGACCTAAGTGCAAACCTGTATTGTACATGTACTAAATGATTACGGTACTAAAATTGTTATGTCTATTGCAAATATAGCTTGTTTATACAGGTATTCAAATAAATTACTATCTTACAAGAATCCCTCCAATGTAAGTTATATTCACTCAGGTCGTTTGGGTGGCAAATTATGAGAAGAGCTTAGTCATTCTTAAGTAAAGATAAATAAACACACAGGCAGGCCTTCAGCGCCAACTGTCAAATCTTATCTCAAATAAATAAACAAACAAACGCCAGACATTCTGTCACCTCACCTCCCGCCCTCTTCCCACCACCCTCGTGTTCAAGATAAAAGATTGGTGATTTCTTTATGTTTATTTTATATAATATCTCAGACTAAAGTTAGGATAATATAATTTGCATTGCTGAAATCCTTGCAAGACAGAGATTAATTTAAATATAAGCATCATATATTTTGCTCAAGATATAAAAAATGTAGTACATTAGTGTACAATACTGTAGTACATTTTATAAAAAGTTTTTCAACTGTATTTTTGGGTAGATTTACATAAATTTCTTCATTTATTTTCATCCATTTACATGCACACACCATACTAAAAGAAACGTAAAAGAAATAAATGACCTTAGTGCAAAGCTGGAGTGCACATGTACTAATTTGATTACGGTACTAAAATTGTTATGTCTAGTGCGAATTACAACATGTTTATATTCAAATAAATCAGTATCTTACAAGAATCCCAGCTATGTTAATTATATTTTCCTAGGTCATATCACTGGCATTTTAAAAGGAAAGAAGCTTAGTAGGACTGTTAAATAAACACACAGAGACCTTCACCTCAAACTTATCACCTCAACCCCCCCAACCCCTCGCTGGGTGGCGGAGCCATCAGTCCCTCCCCCCAGCCAGGCTTTTAGGCTTACAGTTTTTATCTTATATAATATCTCAGACTAAAGTTAGGAGATTATAATTTGCATTGCTGGAATCCTTGCAAGACAGCCAATAATTTGAATATAAACGTCATATATTTTGCTCAAGAGATAAAAATTGTTGTACATTAGTGTACAGTACTGTAGTACATTTTATAAAAAAGTTTTTCAACTGTATTTTTGGGTAGATTTACATAGATTTCTTAGTGCAAAGCTGGAGTGCACATGTACTAATTTGATTACGGTACTAAAATTGTTTTGTCTAGTGCAAATTATAGCATGTTTATATTCAAATTAATCAGTATGTTACAAGAATCCCAGCTATGTTAATTATATTCACCCAGGTCATTTCACTGGCTTTTTATAAGAGAGAAGCTTAGTCACTTAAGAACTGATAAATATACACGCGTTAGACCTGGGACTGTGCCAACTGTCAAACGTACTACCTCCCCTCCCCCCACGCCCCCTCGCTCGCTCCCACCCTCTCCCCCATCTGCTTGGCGTTGCTGGAATCCTTGTAAAACAGTGAATAATTTTAATATAAACGTCATGTATTTTGCACAAGACATAAAAATTAATCACCTGTATCACATTACAGTAGTGATTTAAGAGTAAAAGTGTATATGACGTATATAGTATTCCACATACACCTAAGTATAAATAAAAAGTTTATGTGATGATCGGACAACGTCCATTTCGGTTAACGTCGCGTTTCCAAGAACGTATCTAGGACGTTAACCGGCGCATGACTGTACTGTACAATACATACTGCATGTAGTTATTTTATAGATTTGGTTATCTTAATATGAATGTCAATCATAAAATTGGAAATAAAGTACATTTCATATGCATTGAGATATTTAGTATGACTGAAGTTGTTTTGTTTTAACGAACATTTTGAAAATACCATAATAGGAAAAAAAATTATCGTATTTAACAAATTCTTTATTTCCATAAATTGTTAATGTTTGTTTGGTAGGGAATTTCATTTATTCTTATTTTCAAGCAAGAGTAAAATTACATATCGAGTAAGTATGGCACAAAATATTTAGAAAATAAATATTTTGGTGGTTGATATAATGGAATACTGTACTCGTATTACACAGTAGAATGTGAAAAAGTTTATAGGAAAGAGTAAAAACTGCTGGCTTGTGTTGCAGGATGGTGACACATTTTTCAGAGGAAATTACAAAAAGATTAATTATCTATTAGGGAAAGTGACAAGGATTACAGTGTTCATTTTTTCTTTTTAAAAAAATCAAACATAGTACTGTACAGTTATTGCTTAGAATAACAATTGCCTACCATTTCTATAGAGTGTAAACATAAAAACAGATATGACTAGTCATTTCAAATTTATTTATTTGCTGTTTCCAATTGTTTGATGCAGGTTTTTTTTTTGGTGATAATTTCAATACAAAGTGTTCAATATTATCACACTGGAAATACATTTAAGCTGTTTGATGTGACAAACAAGTGCAATATCTATAAAGGTCTCTTCCCTATACTGTACTTTTCTACCCTGTGCTTTCAAAATATCTTGTGTTGTACATAGGAAGTAAACATTTTGTAATTTGATACACAATACGTACTTATATTAATAAAAAAATAAAAATAAATAAATAAAAAAAAATTGGGAAAATAGACTCCCTGGACCCAAACTAACTTTTACCATCAAGCGCTGCTAAGAATCCTTAACACAAATGTCTATCACATGAGGTGCACAAACTTAACCTTATGAACAAGCCAATTCCTACTGTATTCTGTTTCACTGAAAATGCTCCCTGTAACCAAGTTCATATAAAACTGAAATGCTAAGTCAGCACATTGCTTAGTTTGTTAGAATATTTTGTAAGCATTAGCTAGCAGATTAATTCTAATCATTAATTACTGAAGGTGTTAAGATGTTAATTATTAAGAAAGTGGCTGAGAAAAACTGATTTCCCTATACTGTACTGGAAGATTTTTTCCCAGTTTTGGGTAATAAGAAACTTCACTTGGAGGTAAAGGTGCAATCCCTGAAACAGCCTTACAAAAGGCCTCAATAAGCCTGACATTACATGATAAGTGTTCATCACAGTAATACCTCTGGCCAAGCATATAAACTTTGCTATCACAACACATCTCAGCACACCTTAAACTTAAGGATTCTTTGCATAAATATGTACTATACACAAAACTGGCTGATTATTTACAAAATACTAGTCACATTCAAATAAATACGTTCCTGCTACTTATCTTTAAGGAAAAATAAGTTAATAAAACAGCTACCTCACCAGAAACAGGCATACAGAAGTGTGTGTTCTCATTCATCCATCCTGTCAATACTGATGTATCTATCTCACAATATGCTTTGACCATTTATATTTGATAAAATATATAAAATAATGAATCTATAGACTGTACAATATTCTTCAATAAATAAATAATAATAAGAAATTATCCAAATACTTTCCTCATAAGGAAATACCTCTAGGGTTTGCGCTTTTTAAAATTAACTTGATAATGGAGCATCAACGGGGAGGCCACAAGCCAGTTGTGAACTCCTCTTGAGTAACAAGGCCATTCAATCCAAGACCTTCCAGATGGTTGAAGTAAAAAGTCAGTTCACTTGTAACAACCCTGAAAGGAAGAGGGGGGCTATGATGTGAAGATGGTAACTTTAGCTAGTATTAAGAGGGAGGAGGAAGAGGAAATTTGGAAAGAAAAGACAAAACAGAAAATGAGAAGATATTATAATGCATAAACTTACATACACATATGTATTGCATGTACAATCCTGGACAAGAGTATTATTAATGCCTTTTTGAAGCTATACTGAGCTCTAAGTAGCACCTACAGCTTGGAACCATAGGAAAGCCAGACTACAGCATTTTGGAGTTTCAGGCATGTACAGGTGTTGACCACTTTACGATGGGGTTAGGGACCTTAAAAAGCCATCATTAAGTGATTGATTTTCCTGTATATTGATATTAAAAACTTATGAGGAAAAACAGGTCCTGTTCCTGAGACTCTGAAGAGCCCAAACAAGTTTTATATCCTGCTGCTACAATGATAAAATGATGTTTAAATAATTTAGACATAAAAACAACAAACTTATAAACAAAGAAAGACAAAAACTATACAGTGAACCATTGAACCCACGGAGGCCCGTGTAAAGTGAACAACATAACATATGGGATTAATTGAAATAGAGACCGGGCCGACCCCCAAACTCCACTTTTTCCCGACACAATACCTATGTTCTAGTAAAAATAACATCTTAATTTTATGATGGTACGCACACACACTTAATATTTAAGAGAAATAGAGAAATACAGTCGCCAAGTTAATGTCCATTCAAATAATGGACTCAACTCCCTTCCCCTCTTCTCACACTCGCTGGCTCCTCCCTCTCTGAGAAATGTTTGGGGGAAAACACTAGATTTTAAGGTATAGTAATAAATAGTAACTCAAACTAAAGTTAGGATAATGTAATTGACATTGCTGGATTCCTTGCAAGACCAGAAATATTTTGAATATAAATGTCATATATTTTGCACAAAAGATAACATATTTGCTCAGAGTAAACAAAATACTTAAAGTAGATCTAAAATTTGTATGTCTAATGCAAAATCTATGATGTTTATATTCAAAATGATCATCAAATTATAAGAATTCCAGCAATGTAAATTATATTCTGGCCGGGTAATTTGTATGAATTTTATGAGCTAAAACAAATATCTTCAGTTAATAAAAAAAAAAATATTCTTCACGACACTATCTGTCAATCAAAACACCCCACCTTGCCTCCCCCCTCCTCACACTCACGCCAGCTGGGTCTGTCGGTCCACCCCACCCCCCCACCTTCCCTCCCTACCAGAGAAATGTTTGGGAGAAACCAGAATATTTACCTTTTTAGTAATAAATAATACCTCAGACTAAAGTTAGGATAATATAGTTCACATTGCTGAATTCCTTGCAAGACCAGGAATATTTGGAATATAAATGTCATATATTTTGCACAAAAGATAACATATTTACTCAGAGTAAACAAAATACTTACAGTAGATCTAAAATTTGTATGTCTAATGCAAAATCTATGATGTTTATATTCAAAATGATCACCAAATTGTAAGAATTCCAGCAATGTAAATTATATTCTGGCCGCGTAATTTGTATGAATTTTGAGCTAAATAAAAAAATTATACTTCACCCGCGTATATGAGTAGATGCACCGCGTAAAGTGGGAATTCCGGTTCTGGCAGAGTACCGCGTAAATGTAGAAACGCGTAAAAAAAACCCGGGGTATTACTGTACTGTAAATTTATAAAAACTAAAGATTTATACATGATATGTATGTGTACTGTAGTAAGTTGTGCTACCCCAGCTGTCACTACAAATGGCAGCTGGGGGATTGTTGCCACATCACTTTTTCATAGTGACAATGCAGTTAAAGCAATGTTTGTGTGTTTGAGTCCCATCTTATGAGAATATGTGAGCACACAATTTGCAAATTATAATGTACATGTATGTTTCTGTACTGTACTTTGAGAAGTATACAGTACAGTATTAAGAAATTCACTGACTCTCAGCAAGCAGAATCATTAAACAGAGTCAACATCTGTCTTTATATACATGTCATTGTCACACATAATTTCATAAAACAATAATTTAGATGGGGAAATTAATGAAATATAACTTTTGAAATAATTTTGTAAGTATTTAGCTATTAGGTTTTGTAAACAAACATCGGAGGTCGCGACGATCGTAAACCTGATCTTACTCATTGCATCGTGGTAACTGGTGTTAATTTGTTAAAGTCGTAAAACTGATCAATCGTATACGGATCCATCGTATAGCGGTCAACACCTGCAATGGGAATTTTGTCTATAACTGTAAATATACAAAAGGATTAACATAGAATATACACATGCACCTTTGCATGTGTAACACAGAAATGCAAAAACTACCGTAAATGTAAATGTACATAACGGAATACACAAAATCCAAGTGGAATAGAGGCCGCTGCAACTACAAAGTACAAAATATCATATTACAGGGATGAAATGGTATATCCCACCTTCCTATGATGGATGGGTATTGGGATGGTACATTAAAAGCATTATTGTCTGTCACTTTACTATCCAGTATGCTTTATTAACTGGCATTTTTCATATCTGTCAATATGAGTCTAACCTCTTTACAATAGAGCATTTATGCATAGTTAAACATACTATAAATAAGTGATGATATACAAATTATCAAGAGGGCTACATTACTTCTACATGATTGGTGAGTACAACATAATAACCGTGTTATTTTTCTGGAGGTAAGAGTAACTCTCTCCAGATTATTTTATTATATCATATGACACCTATTCCTCCCACCCCCCATCTCTCCTCCATGATAATTAGTTAAGTGTTTACTGTACTATCTGCCAAGTTGAACTACTACAGTGTCTCTAATTTCCTCTAATTACAAAAGAATTCTGCAACTCACCAGCTCTGTGGCCCTACAGATGACACATTGAGCCGTACTAGATGGATTTTAAGCTTCTCTTTCAGGACAGCAGTAATTTTTTCAAATAACTGGTACTTCTAGAAAAGAAGAAATTAATTCACTGTATGATAATGTATACACTGTATTGAAAAAGAGAATTGATCCTTTGGACATTAATGTTTTTTGGGGACCCTTCAGTAAGAACTAGTGACAGATGTCTGTACTGATCACACCGGTGTGGAATGTCTGATAGATATTCAATTTAGTTTTTAGCCAATTTAACAGAGTAATTTATATGTTACTGAGATATTTGTATGTTCACTTAATAAAATTTTCATTAAACCTGTACAGTTTTAAAATTTAAAATCTGCATTGCACAAAATAAAAGCAATCTAAGTCTGTATCCAAGTGTTTGAGTTTTTATTCTAAGCTACTATTTCTAGATTACCGGTAACAGACTGTCCTGCTACAAATAAACAATCCACATTTAACCAACTAAGAATTAATGAGCAGGAACAGATCCATGGGGGTCCCCTTTTGTTCGAAATGGTCAAAATTGGCACCCAAGGAGAAACATGGACATCGCTGAAAAATAATTAAAGAACATACTACAGGTTGTGTATCCCTTATCCGAAATTCCCAAGTCTGAAATGTTCTGAAATTCCAAAGTCTATTTCATTATATTTATGGTCGATAATACACTGAATATGGCAAATATATATCATAATTTTTACTAGGGTAAGTATGTATGTGTAATGAATAAAGGTAAGACACAGGCTGCTTAGTGCCACAGAGTCAGGCGTCATGGCGATGCCAAACAGACGGTAGTGATTGATTACCTTTCTGGGTCTTTAGTGTACATCTTATCATATATTTTATACCCAATATGATTCAATAATATTTCATAAAACTACCTGTAGAATACAGCTCCTCCCCGACTAACGACAGGGTTAGGGACCCAAATCCAGGTCGTAAGTTGAAATGGTCGTAAGCCGGAAATGCTTAAATAATACATAGAAAATCTAAATTGGGTTTCTCTTTTTCTTCTCAGCACTACAAAACACTCACTTTTAAGCTTGCAGCCATTTTAAAGTGAATTACAAATAAAAATTTTGTCTGTGTACTGACTTTGGGACTCAAAAATATGTAATTTGACCAAATTTTGGTACAACTGAGGCAGGTCGTAAGTGCGGGTGGATGCAAGTCGAGTAGGTCGTAAGTCGGGGAGGAGCTGTATATGTATCCATATGCTGTAAATGAAATATAAGTGAATTTTGAACATAGAATTGGGCCCCAACCCTGCTGGGTGAGCTACTGCATTACCGGGTATACAGGTTCTGTATACAGGATAGTATAGGTATTCCAAGCATTTTAAATAAAGGATACCCAACCTGTATAGCTCAACTCTCAATTAAATATTCTTTAAAATGCTTTAAAAATGTCTCTTGAATTGCATGAAAGTGTTTGTGCCCAGAACTCTGCCCCAGAACCCGCTGAGGGAGCTAGGGTACTGCTCACCCCAGAACCCTTAACTTATTGCCTGGGCCCTTCGACTCTCGGCACCTGCTCCAAGACCCAATATTATGTCTTGTGTCCCCCAATATATAAATCATTCCAATGCCTGTGTGTAGCTTACATTAAGTACTTTCATAGACAACCATTTATTTTTTTATTTTTTTTTTATTTTTTTTTTTTACAGGGCACACAGTTGGTATGCTTCATAGTCAAATCAACATGTAGAATTAAAGTACACATCCCTCCTCAGCTGAAATTCAACACGCAGTACAAAGGACACACACAAAAAGAATGTGCTTAAAGATATTGAACAGTGTACTGGAGCAGTCCCCCCTGATGCTGCACACCTGACCTTAATGCTTCCCACAGGAATGCAAATATGTGTATGAAGTTTGTTATCGCCGCTGGCTTTATCGTTGATGTCAACAACCATGTGCCTCCCCCACCCCACACGCGGCCTGTTACCACACCAGATGTAGGGGGCGGTGTGTACCACCGGGAGTGTCATCACCACTGGCGTGAGCGCTGAGAGGGTGTCATGGATCTCATGACACAGATTGCCCTCTCGAGTGATGCCCCCCCCCCTGACCACGTGACCCGTTACCTCGACAGATGTGGCAGCTGGGGCGTGTTCGCTGGGAGTGTCATCGCCACTGGCGTAAGTGCTGGCATCGCCGGGAGTGTTTTCACCGCTGGCGTCAGTGCTGACGTTTTACTGGCTCACCCGAACAAAGATTAGGGGGTGGGCGGTGTTTACGGCGGCGTGGCCACCTGGACTCTTTACCACCGGGACTGTCATCGCCACTGGCGTAAGTGCTGTCATCGCCGGGAGTGTTTTCATCGCTGGCATCAGTGCTGACGTTTTTGCTGCCTCACCCGAACAAAGATTAGGGGGTGGGCGGTGTTTACGGAGAAGAGCTCCTGACTCTGCTAATATATGGTTTAAAAGGCGGCGCGGCCACCTGGACTCTAGGAGACTGCCCCCACAAGTGATGCTGTGAGGATCAACACTCTGCTAGCAGTGGTGAACAACAACTCCCAATCCTGGCCGAGTTTTGTACTGGAACAATTTACACAGAACTATCTTCCCCTGGAACACCATACTGGTTCGCATTGACCCGCACTTGTAAGTACAGCCAAAGTGATGACATACCCCTCAGTACTGAAATATTGTGGACTAATTATGCCCACTCGTTCCTGCCTTATCTGGAGCAATAAGACAATGTGGAATGAAGTGTAGCTAAGATTAATAGAGTTATGAACTTTGTATCATGTCACTATGCTCAGTAATCAATTATAATAAAGATAAATGGTGTGAGACTAACTAATTATGTATCAGATAGATCACCAAGTAATACTAATGAACGCCTTGTTGTCTGCAGGTTTTGACCACATCAATAAATATTGAATGCGTCAAAAGACGGGTTTCAATCATTCCCTTCGACTTGCCCGTCACCTGAACGTCCTTAAGTAAGGCGTTCACAAAGTTTTTATGCCCTGTAATATTTTAATATGAAAATGTATGTTTTCTGAAATACAATTATATGCGTACGGGAAGAGAACATAAGTAGAAGAGCTGGGTCTATGAGAGTAGGTTTACTGGGGATGTAGCACAGGCCTTTACTCTATGTTTATTTCTCCCACGCTTTGTGTTTTACTTATTTTATTATTAGATGGATTTATTCTCATTCTTTTCTTTATACATGAACATTAACCGGCATAAAATTTTGAAAAACAAGAATGTGGATTCTTCCTGGAAAATCAATGGGAGTAGAGTAAAGTCAAATGCATACTGATGGAGAAAATATACACTGTACCGAAAACCAAGCTTGTAACTTCAAGTACGACCGGGAAAAATTTATTCAAGAAAAAATTGATAATTACGAAAGTTAAGAAGAGATCTCAGAGTTTCAAGAGATGGGTGACCCAGTAATATTGGGGCCTAGTACTAATGGTTCACATTTTTGGTGGACCCTAGTTCTAAAGAGCCTTAATCCAAATGGTCAAGTTTGGCCAGGGTCTATAAGAACTTTAAATAATAGTATCAAGAGAATGTAATTCACAATCTGCAAATTTAAAATATTTTAATATCATACCTGTGGAGGAGGTAAGACACCTGAGATGGCCTCATGTAATTTAGTTATAGCCTTTAAAATTCCATTAAAGGCTGAAGAAGGGACTGGTGAACGTGCCTCCCAAGTGGCCAGCTGCCGCTCTAAGGTATCACTCATTACACCTACAATCTTAGCTTCAATGGCTTCACAGTGTTCCTGATATTCTCTTGTTACCTGTCAAAAAAGTATTAATATGTACAGGTTGACAATCCCTTTTCCGAAATCCTTGGGGCCAGAGGCATTTCGGATTTTGGAATTTTTCGGTTTTCAGAATGGTTATTTTTTGTATTTTTTGTATTTTTTTGTATTAGCCCACCCAGGCACAAGTCATTGACCCACATTGGGGCCTGGGAGGCAAAAATATAATAATACTTATAATAATAATAATAATAATAATTCATAGGTCTAGGTCGTGTTTCTCACTTTTTATGTTTTTTCATTCTTGTATTTCTTTATTATTATTATTATTATTATTATTATTTTATTAACACAGTATTATTGTTATTATTATTATTATTAATTTTATTATTCTATTTTCTTATTATTATTATTGTTATTATTATTATTATTTTATTTTGGTGTATTTTTATTACAAATTTTATTTACTATGAATAATTATTATTATTATAATTAGTATTACTATAAAATTTCTGCCCCCCAGGCCCCAATGTGGGTCAGTGATCTATGCCTGTGGGCTAATCCCAAAAAAAAAAAAAAAATAATAATTGCTCCACAAAATAACTTTCGGTTTTCAGAGCTTTTCGGTTTTCGGATAAAGGGTTGTCAACTTGTACTGCATTTGCCATTAAAAACAAAATTACACATAAAGAATCTACACACAATTCAAAAGGCAAAACAGCAAAGTTCAAAACAGATCTTGAGGGCTTAATGATTACCCTATAAATAAAGGAAGCAGTATGTCCCTTAACAACAGAAATTCTGGTACAGTAGAACCATATACAGCACAAGAATTGGGACTGAGAATTAATGCAAAATAGCAAATTGCATTGTACTGTTTTAGTATTTCAATAGAAATATAGGTTATAAGATTGTAGTCCCCCCAAATATACCAAAACATTCCTTCAAGACAACTTTCTCTCAAGTTAACACTAAATCCATCATTCCAAGACATGTGAACAAATAACTCACCTGAAGTCTGAACAAACACATAACCTCTAGCCCTGCTGTGAGTGAAAGGTTATTGAGCAGTACAGTGGTTCCTCCGTTAACGAGCACAATCCGTTCCAGCAGGTTGCTCGTTAACCGAAAATCTCGTTAACCGAAACCATTGTTTCAATGGGTTTTTGGGTAATTGGTTCCAGCTCACTGAAAATTGCCTAAATTCAAATTTTTTTTTTTAGAAATTGACACTTACCTTGAGGTGTGTATGTAGAAGGCTCCTAGATGATGATGCTGATATGAATTTGAAGTGGGAGGTGGAGGAGGAGAAGGGAGAAGAGAAGAAAGTGGAGGTGGAGGAGAAGCATTTTACTGCTTCTTGGAAGGTGAGTCACCTTCCATGAAAATGTCAGGAACCTCTGGACTTACAGATTCTCCACCATGAACATCCTCTGTCCTTCTTGAAGTGGAAGGCTGAGGGCTAGCATCATCCTCTCTCCTTCTTGAAGTGGAAGGCTGAGGGATAGCACCTTGTTCCCTCTGCCTTTTACTGAAGAAAGTGTCAATTGTGGTCTGTGGGGCATCTGTCCTCCTCACCATTAACTTATGTTTAAAGAAGGAGACCACTGAGTCCTCAACATGACACAAAGTTAGTTCAGTTTTTTCCACATCTGGGTGCTTTGAAGTCAGTTCCCTGAACTTCTCCCAGTGGTAAATCACATCTTTCAACTCTTTAGTTGACATATGGTCATCAGTTTCCGTTTCCTCCTCACCACTGTCAGCCTCTACCTGTAACATCTCATCCAGTTGCTTCAAGTCATCAGGAGTAAGTTCCTCCTCATGAGACATCACAAGCTCTTTGACATCCTCCTCCTCCACTTCAAGGCCCAATGACTGACCAATGGACACAATCTCCTGGTCCAACTCTGTTTCTTCCTCAAATCCCTCAAAATCATTGACTACTGATGGCCACAGTGCTTTCCATGAAGAATTGAGGGATCTAGTGGAGACTTCTTGCCATGATGACACAATCAATTTTACAGCCTCCAGAATGTTGAATTTTTGTCTTCCAGAACTGTTTCAGTGTTAGTTCAGGATCATTGGAAGTTGCCTGATGACACCTCCTAAACATTTTCTTCATGTACAACTTCTTGAAGTTGCTGATCACATTCTGGTCCATTAGCTGTATGATTGATGTAGTATTTGGAGGCAAAAACAACACTTTCACAAAGTCAAATTGATACTCCAAATTTCTGGCAAGGTCAGGGTCTTGACCAGGAGCATTATCCATGAGGAGAAGAGCCTTTAAAGGGAGTTTATTGGTGGTTAGGTAGCTCCTGACAGAATGGCAAAACACATCAACAGCCCATTCATTAAAGAGCTGTCTTGTCACCCATGCCTTACGGTTGGACTTCCAATAAACTTCAAGCTTTGTTCTTACCACTTTCTGTTGCTTGAATACCCTGGGGTTTTCCGAGTGGGAGACAAGCATAGGCTTCAGTCGGAAATCCACTGAAGCATTGGCACCAAGCAATAGAGTGAGACGGTCTTTCATGGGTTTATGCCCAGGTAAAGAGGCTTCATCTCTGGTGATGAATGTTCTTTTGGGCATCTTTTTCCAGAACAGCCCAGTTTCGTCCACATTGAACACTTGCTGTGGAAGATAATTTTCTTCTTCCATCAGTTCTTTAAATTCCACTAAAAACTTTGCTGCCCCTTCCTTATCAGCACTAGCAGCCTCACCATGCCTAACAACACTGAAAATGTCACTTCTTTTCTTAAATTTTTCGAACCAGCCTTTGCTGGCCCTAAAATCTTCAAATTCTGTGCCTGAAGAACCAGGTTGATCTCTCTTTAAATGTTCGTAAACCTCCCTGGCTCTTTCACAAATAAATTCAGTAGAAACTGAATCACCTTTCATCTGTTTTTCCCTAATCCAGATGAGAAGTAACCTCTCTGTTTCTGCAATTAGGGATCTACTTTTAAACACTCTGGTAGATTTGTCTCTCACTTTCACTTCTTTAAATTTAGCTTTTTGTGCAAGAATTGTCGACACAGTTGATGTCGACATGCCACATTCTTTGCATAGCGCATTTGTTCTAATGCCTTGTTCATGTTTTTTTTATAATTTCCTGCTTGGTTTGGATTGAAATCGCTTTTCTTGATCTCTTTGGCCCCATGCTGGATTCAAACAATGTCAACACGTGATTTTTTAAGTTTAAATTAGCTGTAAATAAAGAAAATTTTCTTTAAAATAACACTGCACTGCGCTATATATTGTCAATATGTAAAATAAATTTCAAAATGACCAATAATTTGCTTGGAAACACAGAAAAAAAAAGCGTTTAGTTGAAGAGAGTCTCAAGCAGGATGTTACCTCCACTGAAAAGACACAAAGACTGACGCCTGTATGGTGTGTTGACAGGCTGCTTGGCGTGCAAAATACTAGCTTCCTTTACAGTACTTCAATTATGTTCAATAATTGTTAAAATGACTAAAAAATTTAATATAAAACTTTTACAATTATTGAATAGTACAAACTTCTTGATATTTACTAAAATAGTGAGGAATTTAAGCCCTAGAACCGATTACTGTATTGGCGGACTAATACTACAGCTGGTGGACCGCCAAATGCAAGCGAAAACATGTGGAGGTCGGCTCGTTAAAAACTCGTTAATCGAGGGATTGCTCGTTAACCAAAGTTAAGAATCTTATGGAAGGTAACTCGTTAACCGAGGGATCACTGTATATTGTATGTGGAAGACGAGTGTTTATCTGGGAGCAGCTGGAAGAGGGGAAGAGGGGTAGCATGGGTGGGTGGCTCCCTCCCCCTAACTCCCACAAGATTCCTTTAACATTTCTTTATGCAATTTCACCATAATTCTCACATAATTTAGGATGATTTGGTGACAGGTTAATAAAATATTATCCTAGAAGAATCAACTTAACTGGAAAAAGAATCCCACACTCAACACCAAGAGTCATTGTTTACAAAGGGCAAACAGCTGATCAGCTTACCACAATGTCTGTCTTCAACACTTAGTAAATTAGTACAGTACAGTTGTGTATTTATCATCACTTAATAGCAGTGGCGTGTCGTGAGAAAAATGCTAGGGTAAGCAAATGACGCTTTCTTACTTGTAAAGTCACGAGATCTAAAAGAATTCTTTAGTAGATCACATACAGTGCATGCACATGCTGAACTTTGCTCCTCCTGCGACTGCATTTTCAGTTTGGGGGTATATTAATCCAAATAAATGCGTCGCACTCACACATCATGACCTCTGAAAGTCAACTGAATTTCTTACGTTGAGTGTTGACATAGACCGTAGCCTCATACAGTGATACCATCTCTTTCAAAACAAAATCTATCAATTCGAAAAAAGTTTATAGCCATTATTAATTTATTATATTATTCCAAAATGACAATGACATTATTCAAGTACTATGATAATGAGTCCAATAGTATACGAAACTGTGAAACATAAAAAAGGTCAGATAATTATTATTTACGGATACAAATTTATCATTGAAAAAAAAATTAATGAACTGGTAATGGTGCGGTGCTGCTGGCAGCGAGTATAGGGGGTGGGGGAGGGGGACCATGGAGGACGCTGTGCTTACGTTGTCCAAATTTCTAGCACAATTAATTATACTGACTGATAATAACAAATATTATTGAGGGGACATTCCAGCATCAGAATGCTTTCCACAGCTTATTAAATTGATCTGAACCTTATTTACATGGGTTTGGAAAAAGGGGAGTAACATAAGTTAAATTATTTGTTCTTATCTTACGTCTGGCAATGGCATACCATTGACGCTGTGAGCGTGGGGGAACGTGGGTACTGCAGTGGAATATTGCGTACTTGAGGGATAGATTTTCAAGCGGAAAATGCCCGTCTTGCAAGTTTCACAAATTAACTGGGACAAAAAACAAATGCACAATGCTATACACGATTGAATTAAATAATATGTTAATTAAATAAGATATTTTTATTTGGAAGGGAATCGTTGTTATAGGGTAAGCAATGCTTACCTTGCTTCTTATGAAT